CAGTCATAAAGGGTTACTTTATTTATACTGTAGTTTAATAGAAAATAAGAACAAAAAAAACCCTCACCACACATGGTGGGAGGGCTGGCTGCCAGTTGTGGGGGTCAGAGGGAGGGTAGTAGGGACTTGCAGTGGTGGAGGCAGTGGTATTTAATAACATACATGTTGTTAAGGCATAACGTACGTGTATGTATTTAGTACAATTTACGACATTTTCATGTATTTTATGATTGTTCATGGTTCAACAAGTTAAGGAAGCAGTATTGTATTATATTTCCCTACAATATATTGGGGCACCAAACATTCACGGTTTTTCAACATTCGCGAGGCTCTTGATCCCCTAACCCTCGTGAATGTTGAGGGAGACCTGTATAAGAAACACATTACATAGCATATAAACATGCAATGTTTATATGCTATTGAGAGTGGCGAGTCGGGTGGAGAGTAAACATTACGTTTTCTCTGATTCAGCGTTAGAGAAAACTGTGAATCTGGCGTCTCGCCCAGTAACTGCCCTTAATACATAAGCTTTTGTTAACAATTCTTGGCATGAATTATTCATTACTTCTCCCTTTGTTTATGATGGCATCTAAAGGTAGTTGTTAGAAACGATTAAACTCAGTGAACATGGTAATAATATGGCTGTGTAGTGTATAATATGCTGTGTAGTGTAGCCCAGGGGGCTACATGTGGTGTATGTACCTACATCTACCGCTTCCTACAAATCAATACTACTCACAAGCCTTCAATAAGGTATGTAATGCTCATTTATCATTAAAATTTGTGCTTTATATTTATTTCTCATTGTTTTCTGTATGTAAAACTATAGTTAACCTTTAAAAAATGTATTTTTTGTTAATATTTTTTGGGTGTCTGAAACGGATTAATTGATTTACATTAATTCTTATGGAAATGTTTATTTTCGGTTTTTGGCCTTTTCGGATTTAGGCCGACCTTCTGGAATGGATTACGGCCGATAACCGAGGGTCCTGTATTGGATATTCTGTTACTTTGAAATTTGTTTTGGCAACAGAGTTAACCAGATACTATATAATGATAACAAACATAGACAACCTCATAATTAACAATTAATTATTTTAAAATGTAGCAAGCTACTGATTAACAAAATACAGTGATAGTATAATAAAGTATAGTACTGTACCTGTTTTCTCACAAACTGGACACAACATTCTAGTCTTTCTGGATCATCACAGTTCATGCAGAAAAGTCTTCTCCATAAAGCTGAAGCTAAGACATGATCATCACCCATCAGCCCTTCATCATAAGCAATCACAGCTGCTTGGAAAGAAGAACCAAGATCCCGCATCTGTTCCCGAAGTGTACTTTGTGATAAAATCTGAAAATAATATTGGAATCAGCCAGAGTGAAGGACTATTCACTGAAATTGTTGTAAACAAGTTAAGTTTGTAAAATTTAATTTTATGACTGTACATCACAAGTTAGTTGACTTGAAGCTCATTGAAAAATAGCACAGACATGAAACTGATTAAAAAATGACACCCTTAGAAACTCAAGCATGAAACAAAACAGATGAACTATTCACAATTCAAGAAACTGAGGAAAGAAGAGTTGTAGTGGGAAAATGATATAGTACAAGAGTTTTTTAACATGGCTGACAATAGCAAGAGTAATAAGCACTCTTGATCTGACAAGATTTAAAAGGAAGGTTAGTGCCATTTTGTTCCTTAGCTGCCAGAATATGCATTTCTAAGGATAAAATACTTATACCTAATTTTGAAGCAGCAAAAGATTGATTTCTTTTTATCTTGATTAGGGGTACTGTCATGCTATTGGGATTTTCAGCTCAAACCCTTTCTAATGTATCAGCAAAGAATCCTAAAGTTTTGAAATGATCTCCAAATCTTTCCTGCCGTTGTATAGGGGTTGACAAGGTGCTTAGGTCACCAAAGTTTGTTTTGATCAAAAGTTTTACAATTTTTGGGTGCTTGAATTTAAAAATTTGTCTTGATAAAGGTTTTCCTTCAACATTTTACTTGTCTGACAATGTATCCTATTCTCCATCCTGATTACAAAAATGTATCTTTCCACCACATACAACCTCTATATTGCAGCCCATGGACAAAAGCATGATGTATGTAACTGAGGACCTATTCTACAAAGTATATATATGCCCGGGCACTTAGATCCACAGAGAGAGTTGTTAACCTAAAGGATTTTTGGAAAAGACGTAACATATAATCAAATGTACTGAACACTGAGAAAGCTGAGGTGAAGCCCAGCAGGTAAACACAAATGGCAATTGGAAAAAAATGACCTTAACTTGGCACATGATTTCTTTGAGTCTCAGGAGAGCCAGACTTATGTGATATAGGTCTCACCAGTATTAAGCTCATGGAATTGTGGAAACAAATAGCTGAAGAAAAGAATGGTCATTAAAAAGCTGTTGCTGTTGTTGAACCTCCCCAACTCAAGACTGCTGATACTACTATGAAATTGGTGGAGAGATTCTAGATCTCTGAATATGGACTATCTGGGTTTGACGAAAGAGCCAAACTCCTCAAAATTTACCAATTACTCGAAAACAATGAATAATACTCTTTAGTAACAACTAAAAAATTATAGAAAAAAAAAAAGAGTAAATTCCCAGCCTACAGGAGAAATTTTTCTGAAGAAATAACTATCAACCTCCATAGCTGCTCAAATGGCTGAGAATTTCCTAGTGGCAATAACCAATGCAGCTGCTACAACTCCTCAGAAATGTCCACTTTGTTAAACTAATTCCATTATTCTCTGCCCCTTCTTCCTCTAAGACTTCTTCAAATAAGCAAAAACATAAATGCCAGTAAGCAGGAAAGCAATGGCATTTGAAGTAGATTCAGGTCTGTAAAATCATGTACACATCAGTCTTAAAAAATATCTAAAATAAAAAATGTCCATGTTATGAATCTAAACTCAAAATCATAACTTACCCCAAGTTTCTTAGCTCTTATTTCAGAATCTTTCCACAGAGCTTCAATGACTGCATTTCGAGTAAACCTTCCTTCTTTTCCTTCAGCCATGAGTCGCACCATCAACATCCATGTATGGAGCTCAGTTACCAAGAACCATGAATAGTAGGTATCAGGTAAGCCACAAACTGTAAAAATAAATTCATTGAGAGGCACTAGAATATTTTATTTTATAGTACAGTAACAAAAATAAAATTTACAAGGTTGAAGAAAGTCAACACTTCATTAATGAAGATGATACTACTGCTACAAATAATAGTTAATGAGGTTGAAGAACAGTACATATATACAGTAGGTCTATTTATGACATTAATGCATTCTTAAAAAAAAAAAAATTATGTCTAGTATTTGGAACTTGGAACTTATCCCATAAAAACCTATGTTATAGTCAGATATGTGTTCATGTGCCATAATATTCCATTTTTTTCAACATGCTGGCTGTCTCCCACTGAGACAGGGTGACCCAAAAAAGAAACACTTTCACCATCATTCACACATAATCACTGTCATATCTGTGTGCAGAGGTACCCAGATATGACAGTTTAGATGTCACTCCAAACAGCCAATATCCCAAATCCCTCCTTTAACCCTTTCAGGGTCCAAGGCCAAAGTCTGAAGTGGTGCCCCAGTGTCCAAGAATTTTAAAAAAAAAAAATTGTTATTTTTTCTTATGAAATGGTAGAGAATCTTTTTGTGAATGTAATAAAACAAAAAGTACGAAATTTGATGGAAAATTGACGAAATTATGCTCTCGTGAATTTTGATGTGTCAGCGATATTTACGAATCGGCGATTTTGCCGACTTTGACTCCCATTTTAGGCCAATTACATTATTCCAGTCGACCAAATTCTCAGCTATTTCACTAGTATTACTTTTGTTCTATCGATTTAGCACAAGAAAATCGCCAAGTCAACTGTTTCAAACTACAAAAAAAAGTGACCGAAATTGGTAATTTGGCCAATTTAACACAAAGTTCAAAATATTCCAATTTTCAAATAGGGGCCAGAAAAAACAAAGTAATTTTCCTGGCACAAAAATAAAAATTTCCCCTTTCTTAGTTTTTGTTTTGAGGCTTTACAAAAAATTCCATTTTATTTTTTATTCACATAATGAATTTTTTTCACACCAAAAAAAGAATTTTCTGTTTCATTTGTAAAATTTTTGTAAAATACTCAACCCCCATTTGTGAATGATATTGACCCCCACTGGCGTTATTAGACTTGAGGTTTTTTTGTTTTCTCTTGAAATCGGCAAAAATTAACATTTCCGCCATTTTCGCAATTTCAAACCATTTTCCGTGCAAAACCAATCAAAATTATCTCTATTTCTGTAAATTCCCCTTCCATTATCAAATGGACCCAAGAAAACAAATAAACTTTTAAAAAAAAACGAAAAAACCTGCAAAGTCGCTGTTTTAATCAAAATCATGGTCTCATTTTTTTTTTTTCATTTTAAACAGTTTGGGTGCGGTTTTTTTTATGTGGGCAACTACCCCAAAAATTATTTCCCCTATCTAGGGCCCCAAAAAAAACCTCCGTTTATCAAGTGACTGAGCTCATGACTAGATCACGGTTTTGGACCCCGAACAAAAAAGTGATCTACGGACGGGCCCTGAAAGGGTTAAAGTGCAGACATTTTACATAGGGCCTCACTACATGGCGGGTTTGGTTCCCTACCGCGTAAGCGGAAATCACTGTAAAGTGGGAAAAAACCCCTTTTTTTTCTCCTAAAATGCACAAAATAAGATAACAAAATTTTCACTAACATATTTAAGTTAGCAATCAACTAGGCATTAAAAAAAAATAAAAAAGTATAATCACATAGGTACAATCATTATTACCTTTAAAAAATTTGTGTTTAATCTAAAGGTGAGATGAGTACAGTGGACCCCCAAATTTGTTCCTCAACCTATGTTAAAAAATGCTTTCGACGCAGGTAAAAAAATTTTACCCCCAACCACTTGAAAAACTCCCCAACGCGGCCCTCTGGTTCATTTGGCCTGAAGCGCTCAAA